TTTATGCCTTTGTGAGATTTTACCTGGTACTGGTTTGGCTGCCACAAACACCCCCACAGGTGCCCACTCCAAATACAGCGGGACGTGTTGAAACTAGAGTGTTTGGAGACAAGAAGTCTTTAAAGTGACTCTGCTCAAACATATGCTGCATTTTCCTGGTAAAGAGCTATACACACACCTTGCTGTAGGCCAGCCGAGTGAAGGCTCGTTTTGCCTCGGTTGGCTCGAGGAACTCGATGATGGCGGTGAGTCCTGAGGGAGGCAGAAGCACTCGGCCCAAAGAGCCGTGAGGGGAGAAGAGCTCCTCCAACTCTGACACCGTCACTCCAGCTGGAAGATTTTTCACCAGGATCACAGTTGTACTCCTTTCTGCTGCCGCCTGTGCACCAAGGGAAAACAACCTCAGCCAAGTTAACTGGATTACAAGCACGGTAAACTGCTTATACAATTTAGCAATGAGTGGAAAAGAGTTCGTATTAAGCATACCTGGCTAAAGGAATCCAGACTGACAGCGTTGTCTAGTAGAAACTGTCGAGTCTCCTGAACGATCTGAGTCTCTCCCAGAGCCATCCTCACAGCAACGCTTCCTTTAGACTCCTGCAGAGGAGGGCAAGAATCAGAGGTGTATGAAGAAACTTTAAATGTGCACTGCCCAGTGTGCTTAATAATTCACATGTTTTAACGTGAACGGTGTATTTCTACTGTTTACCTTGTGATCAATGCAGCGAAAGACAAAATATGGCCTTTATGATGACTTCTTCAGAACAGACTAACTGTACTTTAAATGTATCTTTTAATCAGCTCACGGATACCTGAAGCATTTGGGCTGTTTCCAGTCTGAACACACTTGTGCTGGAGTTGAAAAGAACGTTATGGGGAGCACTAATGTAGAACAGGATGCAGTGTTACTCACATGGTCTAGGACTTGGCTTTTTGTGGTATTGTATTTTTCAGCAATGGCATCTGCCACTGCACTTGTGCCCAGAAACAGGGTGTTCCAGTTGTGGGAGCTGGAGGGAAACAATTACAATTAATAAGAGGGATGAGGGATGGGTCATGTAATTGAACACAAAAATATTTATTTATTCATTCATCCTTATGAATAAACACAGAAGCAGAGGGTTAGTGTGATTATATATACATACCTGGAACTTGAAGCTTTACTTTTAGCATCTTTTTGCCGTTTGTAAGATGAAGAGCCGGGACCACCAGCATCTGAAGAGTCTGTCTTTTCCTTCTTCACGGTGGACGGAAGCAGGTGAAGCATCCTGCCCTAAAAGCACGAGAGAACGAATGTTTCTAATCAGCCTCAACTTCATTTGAAGATGAAGTCCTACTACTGAATCCAGGAGCAATTATAGGTCCAGTTTCTGTAGTGTGGAGAGATATTGAGATCAAATACCTGAAATACATGTCCGTCCAGCTGAGCCAGAGCTGTCACAGCATTCTCTGGGATCATGTATGTTATGAAAGCGAATCCTTTAGGCTTCTTGGTTAGGTTGTCAATAGGGAAGAGCACCTCGGATAACGGACCTGTGAAGATATTTAATCAAGAATTATTATAACCTTGTAGAGTTGATGAGAGGGAATTTATTTTTTGCAGGAGTTGACTTTTTTTTTTTTTTTTTTAAATTCACCATGTTTAGAAAATAGCTCTTTGATCTCTTCCTCTGTGCAGGTGTATGGAAGGTTTCTGAGGAAGAGTCGACCTGACTCTGCGACATCTTCCTCCTCCTCATCTTCCTTGAGCTTCCTGGTGAAGTTTCTGTCAATTTCTTTGTCCTTTCTGTCTTTCTTGCCCTTACCCCCAGAGGCATCCACACGGAAGACCTCAATGTAACGGCCACCTGCAAACACCGGCAGAAAGGATGCAATCGTCAGTCAGTCAGGAACAGAAGTTATGTTGTCGCGATAAAAGCAGAAATAAGACTGGAAGTAATCTTTCAGTCTTAACTGCCACCATCTCCTTCTTAAAGCACACTAAGCTAGGGCTGCATCTAAAGATTATATTGTTATCGATTACTCTGGTGATTATTTTCTTAATGCAACAATTCATTGTTTGCTCTATAACACATTAGAAAAAAGTGAAAAATATAATCACAACGCCCTCGAGTCCAAGGTGATCGCATCCATTGTGTTGGTTTGTTGTGTTGGAATCATGTTACCAATGCAGCAATATAAGTTTGTTTTTTTTACCGCTACACCTTGTCATACCCCTAAAATACACATTATACACACAAATAAGAATATAATATTTCTCACCTATGTAGTCTTTATTCTTCTTCAAGGCCTTTTCCACCTGTTCTTCAGAGTGTAAATCCACATATACGTAACCTGAAACACACACATAAAACACCTGTCCTGATACATGGGTCTGTATAAAGTCAACACAGACACATACATAGGCAACTATCCACACAGCAGATATATGGTATACAGTATAATATAATAATAGTACACAAAAGTTACTTTCAATATCATACCTGTTCTATTTCCACTTTCGTTCTTCCCGATCCTGATTGCTGCAGGCTTCAGTGGGGTCATGAACTCTCGAATTTGTTGCTATTGATGCCACACAGAAAAAAAACATGCTGGTGTCAGTGTTTTTAAAGTAGAATATCCTCACTGCACCTCTGGAATCAGGAAGCTCTTGTTCACTCACCTCTTTCACACTGAACGGGGCTCCTCTCAGCTTCACCGTGAACTCTGTCACTGGCTCCATCTGCAACGAACAGATGTGAGTGTAAATAACAAATACTGCGCTGTATGAAACAATAATGTTCGACGTGTAGATTTTGTTTGAACAGTCACCTCTTGCTTGGCGGGTTTCTTCACTTTGCTCTGCTTATCCTCAGAGGAAACTGAGGGTTTGGTCTTTGAGGTGTTTTCTCTGTCACCACTTTCATAGGCGCTGTCTGTGTGCTGTACAGGACCACGATCCTCCTCTTCATCACCATCACCAGCTTCACCGTCATCCTTCTCTTCGCTCTCCTCCATGGTGTCATCCGTCTGCGCCACCTTCGAGCGCAGATAGTCCATATCTGATAAGCCGGACTTCAGTGCTTCTTTAGTGGCACCTGAAAGTAACACACACCTCATTTGTACATTGCATCTGCCTTTAATTACTATTTTTATTTATTTTATTTTAATAAGTCTATTTTGTTTGAGTATGTTTGTGGGATGTCACAAGAACCGATTCAGTACCAAGTCAATGCCAGTTGAGAACGTGGCAGATTCAATTCTTCTGTACGTGACAGGGGCAGCATATACACAAATAAATAAAGTTTTATTTGGTGTTATACCCACGTTAGGTCTCTAAAGGATGTGGCCCACAAACATAGGCCCTTAAAAAGACCTTGAGGTCAACTGCTCCTCCTAAAATGTCAGTAAAAGGCTAAATTCTAGTAGTAAACTGGAGAAAGTTTCATGATAACGGGTATTATAAAGAAGTTAAAATAAACACTTTAGATAACTGACAGATAACTGTAGTTTCATCTACCTACAGCAAGAAGGGACCACCATTACCAACCTTCATCTTCATCCTGGTCTTCTTCCTCCTCCTCATCCTCTGACTGGTCTGAATCAAAGTTGAGGTAATCATCTGAAGCAACCTTCTTCTTGCTCTGAGTCTTTGTCCGTCCACTGTCGGGGTCTGGTGTTTGCTGCACGGTGTCATTCGCCCACGTTGGTACTTGGCTTCTGTTCTGATGTACTGACAGAAACTCTTTGAATCCCTGGTCCTCCTCCAGCTGAAACACACACAATGATTATTAGACTGTGTTGCACTGATGAACAACGACGACATAATGCTGTACGTCCTCAAAACACTAAATTATTACAGGTATATTAATGCAGTGGACAACATTGAATAAAATAAACTGTTGGCTTCACAAATCTGTGAAGTGAAAATGGTGTTAAATTCTAAATTATGTCCATATTTGACATTGATTGATTGATTTTAATGAGTGTGATTTAGAGCTGGGTATCATTTAATTTCTCTTTATGTTACAGGTGTCAATATAATTCCAGATTTTGATACCGATCACATGATCAACATCACTTTTTGGATACCTTCACTGGAGAAATACTGCAAAAACATGTTTTTCAAAACCTTTTATTTCATTAAAGTTCTTAAATGTTAAATGTTTAACACTTTGATTAAATTAGGAGCTATTTGATTATCAAATAACCAAACCAGATTATGAATCTGATATTCCCTGTTGTCTGTGCTCTGTAGGCACATTGAGGTTGGTACCAAAAAATCCACATTCAGATTTTACACACATTTACTCACATTTCCAAGTGCGCTGTTGGTTTCCTTTTTCTGTTTCTTTTTCTGAAAACAGAAACAAAAATACATCATACTGTCTTTTTTTAAGAAGTGACAGTGCGGCAGAACTTAACTATCCTATATGTAGAAAGTAACTAAATATACTGTGGTTATCCAGATAGTTGTCTCTGAATATATATATATATATATAAAATTTATCTCTAGTTTAAATACTCTACTACAAGTAAAAGTCCTTCATTCAGAACCTTATTTAAGTAAAAGTATACGTATTATTTACAAAACTCTCTTACTTATCATATAAAAAGTAAAAATACTCATCACTCTGTGTGTTACTGGGGTAAAATGTGAGAAGACATCATTATAATGAACTATTGTAGTGCTGCAGAGATTCCCTCGCCTACAAATTGTGCTCTCCAGACACAAGACAACATGTTTGTTTGGTAAAAAGCTCAACAAATATAACATTCATCATGATTTTACTAGTTTGTTTCAGTGAAAATAAAAAATGTGATGCAAAAATGCTCATTCCCACTAGTTATGAATCATATTACAATCACAATAAGTGTCAAAATAACCATAATTAACCATATTGTGCAGCCTTAGAGTTTGGTTACTATTACTGCTGCATTAAAGTGTCTGACACAAGTAAATAAAGCTGTCACACAAATGTAGAGGAGTGAAAGGTACAACATTTGCCTGTGAGGTGTAGTGGAGTATAAAGACAAATAAACTCATTTATAATAATGAATAAATACTGGCAGGTATTGTGTGTGCACCTTTTTGCTGTCAGTGTCTGCAGGAGTGGAGGGTTTGTCCGGGCCTGAGCTCTGGGTATGTTTGCTCCAGGCTTTGGCCTTAGTGGGGTCTCCAAAGGCCTTACACATCTCCACCTACAACAAACAAACAACCACGGGTTCACACGTGACAAAACAACAACAATAATGTCAACAACAGGTGTTGTTTAGTGGGTGGAAAGCCTCGACAGGAGTCCTACCGTCACTCTGGACGTGTCCACGAAGCTCCTGTTGAAATGTTTCAGAGCTTTGTTCGCATCGTCTTCGGCTTTAAAGCCCACGAAGCCGAACTTGCGGAACTTTCCGTCCTTGGTGAACTTCAGAGAGCAGTCGGTCACTGTGCCAAAGGCGGCAAACATGGACCTGAACCTCTCCTCCTTCATCTGCACACAGGAGACACGGTTATACACGACCAGGCGGACTGACACAGAGTGCTCCCGTTACTGTGCGCTGACAGCCGGGCGGGTTACTTACCCCGTTGGGGAGGTTTTTAACGATGAGTCTCGACATGGTTGTTGTGGTTGTAGCTCCACTAATGAAGCATAAGGTTGGGTTTTTAAAGATATGTCAACAAACCAGCGTGGACTCTCCTCTAAGTCGCCATTTTGGGTGGGAGGAGCCTCTTTCTTCTTTCCTGGATTTGGACTTTTTTTTTTTTTTTTGCCAAACGTTGTATGTCTGCGCACATTAGCGCCACCTGCCGTACGCGAGTGTAGAGCGATAAATAAATAATTAACTAACTAACTAACTAACTAACTATTAAATTACTAAATTAACTAAAATGCATCTGCTAATATTGTTTCTTTTAAGTTGTTTATTAAATAAGTATTGATTTTGATCAGTGGTTGATCAGAATTTAACCGAGTGCATTCGAGTAATCGTACTGTACTTAAGTACACATTTGGCTTCTTTAACTGAATATTTTAATTTCCACCTTATTTTACTCCACCAATTGGTAAATATAGTAATTTTTGCATATTGGTACTTGTTACTTTATATATTATAGATATCCCCTCCAAACATGTATTAAGACCAGCAGTCTGTTTAGAACAATAATGTCTGATGTGGTATTTTTCTTTGATGATTTCCACATTAAAATAAAATAAAAGACTAATTTACGTCTTCTACTTCACTAAAAATGACAGAAGCTATGAATATGCAAACACAAGACATCTCCTACTTCACTGTAAAGCGCATTCTCAGTGTATATGGATCCAACTGTAGGAACAAGAAAAAAACATATTTTGAGACTTTAAGATTATGCATAATAATGACTCGGTAAAAAAAATCCAGTAATATAATACATAACAGTATAATACTAACAGATACTAGGTGTACAATTTGCTACTTTTAATTTTAATTAAGGGATACTTAATAATTGTATTTTTATGTTGCAGTAATAGTAGTATAAATCTAAATGCTTCCTCCACCACACGCCCTGTTGTTAGTTTATGTTGATGTCTTGTACAGGTTCAATAGAGGCGCACAGCGTATTTGTTCCTTGTGGGTTAATCTGGTCCTCTACGGTCTGTACTCCTGACTGAGTCAACAGCTTGTTGCATAAAACTCTGTAACATATTGGTAAGCACATGGCCTTTTTCCTGCCAAGTGGAGCGTAGCTTTTAAATCATACATTAGTTGCATGGACGTACAACTAATCTATAATTAGTCATACATCCACCGAAGCACATAAATGACAATACCACTAAACCAGATAGGCAGTTTCAGGTTGATGCAACCAGTACAGATTATTCTTCATTCTTCATTTTGCTCGTCACAAAGCACACATTTCCTTAAAATATGGATGTTCTTCTAACGGGAAAAGAAAAGAATTTCTGATCCCACTTCTCTCACGGCTACCAGGCTTAGTTTCGAAGTTAAGCTGATTATTTGAGTTGGGAATTTGAGCCAAATACTCAAGACCAGTACTCAGTAGGATGTGCTTGAGTACATTCAAATGCAATTTTACTTTTACTCTATATCTGATGAAATATTGTTCTATTTTTGAAACAGGCAACAATGACAGAGCAAAAAAAACCTCTTCAACTTTTGATTTAGAAGGGTTAGTTGTACTGTGCCCATGTGTCTGTACTGATAGTTACTGTTAGGATGCCACCTTAGGTCTTTTACAATAACCATGTAACTGAGTACTCTCCAAAAGCACTACTTTAGTTCCTTCACATGAGCATTCTTTCATACTTATAATATTTTGGCTGTTTGAGTGAGTCTAAATACTTCTAATACTCTTTCCAACCTTGTAAATACAAGTGTGACACACATTTCAATAAACCCATTGTTCTCCAAAGCTGAAATATAAGGCAGGCTAAATGGCAAAAAAAAGAGTTCACTTTGGTTAGGAAACATTTTTCATAAATGGATCTTTATTGAAAAATGAAAAGTAGTACAAACCAACAATTATTCATATGAAAATATTACAAAGATCAATTCAATTTATGTTTGTAGTTGCACTGAAGACTGAAGAGATGTATACCTTTGAAGTTCAAGCAAAGCACCACAATTTACAGTATCATTTATTATTATGCCTCATTTTTCTATAGTAATCTATTGTGTTGTGTGTGGACTATAACTCCTCCTGGCAAGTACTCATAGTTGTAACATAAATATTGTGAGACATAAACAACCCCTGAGAATTATATTTCATATTGATGTTGATAACAGTGTTGTGCTTACTCCATCAGCACTGCAGGCCTTTCTGCTCTTGGGAGTCTGGAACTCATTCTGGATTTCAAGGAAGGTTTTGTTCTTGGTTTCAGGAATGACAAGGAAAATATATATAGCCATTAAGGAGCAAATGACCAAGAACACCAGGAAACAGTACTGCTGCAGCCCGATCTGTGCAAAGAAAACACAATATAACAAACAAACCAAGCTTTTTTCCCCAAAATTTTGTTTCCTAATTTGAAAATGCAATGATAAAACTTTTGAAAATGAAGACACATTGTCATGTTCAATCATTCTGGACACCTACCACAATAAAAGGGAAGACCAGGCCAATGAAGAAGAAGCTCAGCCAGTTCACTGATCCTGCGATCATGTACGCTGCCGGGCGTGATGTTTGTGTGAACAGTTCAGTGGTCAGGATGTTAGTCACGCCACCTTCACAGAAGAAGAAACAACAAAAGAAATCACTGTTAATTGTGCAACAGCAGCCACATAGGGAAAGACTTCAGAGTTACTAATATAATCAGTTACCTGGTCCTAAGCCAAAACTCAGGATAAAGGCAAAGACACACACCATGCTCAAGTATGGAATTACTGGGCTGGCATCCTGAGAGAAACATACGAGGTGTTATATATATGTATGTATGAAATAGCATGAAACAATGGTTTAAAGGTCTTTTTATTTTCTTACAATGCCTGGGGGTAATTACCTGAAAAGTGAGCGTTAGCGTGAATAAAATGCAGCAGACACTCATCAGCGTGTATCCTCCTGTGATGAGTACTTTCCTTCCCAGACATTCGATGAGCATACCCTGTGAGACACACAACATGTCACAAGACCAAAAACCGTCTGCAGGCAAACACTTTAACTCTGACCTTTCATGGAATATCTGCAGTTTTGTTCTGTCAAATCCACCGTCTTTTAACTCATGTTTTTCCATCGCTTGCCCCCATTTTAGTTACTTAAGTATAATAATATAAGACAATCTTCCACTTTGGTGGACGATTAAGTCATTCATGCCTTTGTTTTGACGATTTACTTAAGTCAAAGGCAAAGATTTTATTAGAAAGGTCTTGACTGTTGTTGTGCACCTCCCCTTATTTATCCTTTTCTGGTGGCATGAAGTAATGCACATGCAAAACAAAATGAAAATCTTTAAAATACTTACACATGTTAAAGCTGTGATGCATTCACAGGCACCAGTGCCAACAGTCACATATGGTCTTGTATCAGCGGGAATGCCAGCTTGTTTGAATAAGTAGTCTGCGTAGAAGTAAATCTACAAGAAATATAGACAAGAAAACCAAATTACAAAAAAAATGTGTATTTTTTTTTACTCCTAAAGCTGCCAATAGAGGCTCTGAGGAATAGATTCAACCTTGTGAGAGATAGCAGGACAGAGAATATTGGAAGACAACAGGTATATCATAATATACATACAGCATTGATGCCGTTCAGCTGTTGTGCAGTGTTGAGTAGGATGATGGTGAGAAGCTGCCAGCGGACACTACGATCACTTAAGAGCTCCCAGGGCTTCTTGGCCTGGAAATCTACTAAATTATTCCTCTCCTTCTCGATATCCTCCCATTCACAATCATAGTCAGCGCAGTGCAGTTGCTTCAGAGCTGCAGGAAAAGCACATGACACACAAGGTGATTGTAGTTTTCTCCATGTGCACCATTCTCTCTCATCTGATCAGGCTACAGGGTCTGTTTCTGAGAATCTCATCAAAAGGTTTCCTGCGTCAAATCAGTTTCTCTTCACATCGTCGTGGCGTTACTAGAGAGTGATCACATGCTTGAACTCACAGCTGTGAAGTCTTTGCCGCTGGTGATTCCAGACAAAGGGCATCCTCTACCTTAAAACTACGCTGTCATGTGCACTAAATCAATCTTTGCAGGCCGAGGATAAAATCAAACCGATTTTGAAATGGAAGAGACCTTTACCTTTCTTACATCCCTCGTCATCTCCCCTGTCGATGAGCAGGAAGCGCGGGCTCTCTGGGAACCAGGGCAGGATAAGGAGCTGCAGGATGGCTGGGATACATGTGGTGGCGAGCAGGATGGGCCAGTACTCTTCTTTGCCCAGGAGCTCTCTGTGAAATCACACACAGATCAAAATCAGATCAATTCAATCATGTGAACACAGATTCTGAGAAAATGTTAATTTTTAGTGTGATGTTGAAAAAGAAAAGCCCAGCAATTACTTGAGGCCAATCACTTGTCCAGTCAAGATCCCAATAGTAATGAAAATAGAAGTTCCCATTCCCATCGCACCACGGAGGGAGGTTGGAGCTATTTCTCCCAAATAAAGAGGTTGAACACAAATGCCGATACCTGAGAAAATAAAACATGATTAGAGCCACAAGTTTGATGTTGAAACCAAATATTTAACAAGATGATTTCACATATAATACAAAGATATGTTTGCACGTGAAGGAATACAGTATTTAAATGTATTTCTGAATTATTTACCTGCATTTATTCCTGTGAAAAAACGTCCAATGATGAGTAACTCAAATAATCCTGTTGGGTAACTCAGACCCATCAGCAGAGCAGCAATTAATGCAAATATATTATTGGTCAGCAGCGTCCCTTTCCTAGAAAAGCAACATCACATTAAAGCTTTATAACTAAAAATATTTTAAAAAAAGAATCAGTAGGAATGTTCTTTTTTTAAATTATCCATACCTCCCCAGCTTCACAGACAATGTCCCACCGATTGTTACTCCTATAAATCCGCCTACTGTGAATATCGACACAATAGTGGACCAAAGCAGGGTGAGAACATCTTCTGATATGTTTGTTTGGTATCGCTCCCTCCAGGTTTGGTTGATGAAACTATGCACATACTGGAGATAAAAGAAGGGGAACACAACAAGCACATTTAGCAGGTGAAGTAAAAATATTTAAAAGATATATGTGTGCATGCATCTTCACCAGATATCACAATGTAGAGGATATGTACTTTTTGTGAGCGATGGAAATATGTGATTCATGTCCAAAACTGTAATTTATTAGACTCAGTGGTGGAATGTAACTAAATACTCTCAAACACTGTACTTAACTTGAATCTTTTTATACTTCTACAACTTTTTACTAAACTAAGTAAACTAAGAGTTACTTTTCATCTTAAGATTTTATGAAGAACTTAAAAAATAAATAAATTACCAAACAGTAAAACATTTTTCAGCTTCTCAAATGTAACTTTTCCTCGTCTGAATTTACGAATTTGAGGTTGTGACAGCATTTCTCACTATTTTCAGAAGTCAGTCGATTAATGGAGAAAATAATCACCAGATTGAAAATAATCAGTATTTGCAGTTGAATATTAATAAAATAGTTTAAAATGAGCTCTATGTCAACTAACTACAACAGTAAACCCTGCGTTTATATTAATGCAGGGTAATAATGATATAATATCAGTACTTTATAGACATTTTCCTGATTATACCTTTACTTAATTTTTTGTGTGTTTATTATTTGTATTTTACTCTGAATACTTCCTCTACCACTGATTAAACTTATTATCCATTATACCACTATAATAGTATAACATTAAGTTATGGAGCATCTTTTCTGTCCCTCTTATCATTCATTAATATAAATATAAGTGGTATTAATTGATCCTGTGACAGACAGTAGGGTTATTACCGTTGTGGGTGCATTGATGACTGATATATTATATCCATACTGAAAGGTTCCTCCTATACAAGCAGCACACACAGCCAGCAGAAGGGATTTGTTCGGAAACTGCAATAAAACAGAGAGGTAACAAACAATCACTGACATATAATCATGGATATAGCTCCATCCTCGCCCACAGCTCCAGTTTTTGGTTTAAAAACTCTCATTTCAGTATAATCCACATACCTTAATCCGCTTTCTATCTTTGATTTCTTTAATAAGCAGAGGTTCGTATTCATCCACAAATTCTTTAGTCATGTTGTCGCTGATGTTTTTGCATCCAGTGTTTGTTTGTCGACTGTCCTTCGTGTACTAAAGAGTTTGCTCTCAGCAGCCAAACTTAAAATCTCCGGGAGGATGAGTTTATCCCGAGGAGGGTACAATTGATCTGTTGTCATAAAGTGACTGCGGGGTGAGGAGAATCGCCCATATTAATCCATGTTTATCAGGATTTTACGGCATTTTAACTCAAAATGCGAGATCCTGCTCGGGTTTATTTCTCCTGAAGGCACAGGGGGAAGTACATCCAGCTGAGATCAGAGAGCTTGCTATTGTTGCTGTTGTTATATTGAATGCATTGTCCTGATAACGTATAATAAATTGGAAACAATTTGACTGCAATTCAGTATACAGAGCTTTCCAAACAGCCGTGAAGGAGGCAGAGGAAGGCAGCTGAGAGAATAACTTCAGACAGAAGACTAGTGTTCACTTTAGGCCTGTCTAATTATTGAGAGAGTTTATATAAAAACACGTGTTTCACAAAGAAATGCAACCTATAATAATATTTTTTATATATCTGGATATCATTTTAATAAGACCTTAGTGTAACATAATGTCTGATATAAATAAGGCTTGTTTACTGTTACATGATAATGTGCCTGCACAATATGCTAAAGTGCTAAAGTGTTGACTCCCCCTATGTTTCAGACCTTAGAAGAGCAGTCAGTAAACATCTGTAACAGTCGGAAAGGTCAATTATAAAAGGTAATTGGGGATAATGAAAATACTGTACGGGCTTTGTGGGTAAAATAATACCACTTTAAGGCTTTATTATAGGGATTATAATGTGCAATTAATTAATTATTAATCCTTTATAAATTCCTTATAGGGCATGAATAAAAATAAGTTTTAGGAAATGTTATGTATAATTTATTAACATCTTATTTGTAATTATAACTTAAGACATGATGGACAATTAGAATGTGAGAAACCAAAAAAAGGGATTTTTCCTCAACCTAGAACCCAAAACTTGCTCTAATTGATGGCTTTTAATGAATCTCCAAAGCATGTAAAGTATTATTATTATTACAGTAATAAGCCATTAGTTACACCATATAACTTTAACTTCATAAAGACTCCCTCATTAAGAAGGGGGGGAAAATGTACATTTCTTTTTACTTTGACTAGAGCACTATTCATTCCAGTGAAAGAATAATCATCTAATAAATAAACCAATAAAAACACCTGTCAGGCAAAACGTCTGCTGTCCAGGCAGACCCTCACCCTGTTCTACATACAGTATGATCTTATCACAGTTCATCCTGGCAGCCTAAAACAATGATGACTGAATGTGCCGATAGCAAACACAATCACAGTAAACTGCATGGCCAAACAGTTCAAAACTTTTCCATCGTAGCCTCCTGAGGTGTTAAATGGTTTGTAAAATTAGCACAGAGAGTCGATATGAACTCACCTCTTTCTTTGATTGCACAGATCCCTCATTGAAATTCATTTTGGTAGCTGCCGTCAAATTTAGTTTGAATGAACCATTTATAATGGATGTTCCACTCCAGCCCAGGCTCTTACATAATGGCAGCCCATTGGAAGGTGCAGCATATGATCTCAGCACCAGGGGGGAGACTCATTAACTCCTTGAAGCACATTCCGACATTGTGCTGAGGCTTCCCCACGAGTAAGGGAGGGATTGCTATACAGAAATAATATTGACCCTTTGTTGTATTAAATGGATAAAATGGGGCATTTAACTTGATGTGTCTGAAGGGCGAAAAAAAGCTGCATGTGGTGCAGCACCGGGGTAGCAGAGAGTCGTGATGCATTTATGGTAAAACACTTCCAATCGCTGGTTAAGATTAAAATAGTTTTATTATGTGATTCAGAGTAGCCTATAACTACACCTCTGTAATAAACACACGGAACTATTTCTATGTAAAATGATGGGAGTTTTCTAGCATGTATGGCAGCATACGGCACTACATTACGTTTTCTCCATTTTAAGGGCACCCTGAGGGC